TGCCCTACAATGTTGGAGCAATTGTTGTTTAGTGGGCTCATCTGGTAGTGCAATTGTACGGTCTCTTAACCATTTTAGTTTTATGCTTGAGCCAACTAGAGCTTCCCCTTTCGGAGGTACGAAGCCTAACAACTCGTAACACAATTTATCCCAGTCAAAGAAAGTTGGTCCTGTGACTGGTTTGCCGTTGATCCCTAAACCCAATTGTAGTGCCACATCTTCTAAAGTGACCGTGCACTCACCAACTGGGAGGTGAAAAGTATGTGTCTCAGGTATCCACCTCTCCACCAAAGACATTATCAAACAATCATCGATTTTAAAATGTCTTATTTTCGCAACCTCGCCAAAGCCAGCAACCTCCAACAAATGCTCAATTCTTGGGTCAGGTGTAGGCATGAAATGATAGTAAGATTGAATCACTTGATCATTTTTTGTCTGCGAAAATGGTAGAATTGGAATGTTAGTAATGAATAATATTAGTTGTAAACATTATGCAATATATATTAACTTACCATAAGATGAGTTTCATTTGACCTATGGAGGTGTTGTTTCCACAACATAGTTGAAGATGAAGAAGACATTCTTGAAAAACAATAGAAACGAAATTGATGAGTGAAATAGCTGAAGAGAATTGATCTTTTGTTGTTTGTTTAGGGTTGGATCGTATGTAGTGTATATATAGTGCAAAAAAATTGAATTAGTTTGTTTCATTGCGTAAGGAATCCAATGACTTTGTGCAGAGTTTCATCAATTGCTTTGTCCCAAAGCGTCAGAAAAATCAATGCTTTATGCAAAGTGTCATTGCCTTGGTCCAAGAGCGTCAGAGAAATTAATGACTTTGTGCAAAGTGTCATTGTCTTGGTCCTTGAGTGTCAAAAAAATCAATGTTTTGTGCAAAGCATCAGGTATCCAATGACTTTGCGTTTGTCCACATTATGTTGCTTTAGTTCTTTATAAACCCTAAACAAAGGCTAAAAATGCAAGAGATTGAAACATCCAATCAATGGAGTTGTTAACTGTTCCAACCACTATTTACTATGGACAAATTGTCTCCACTAAGCATGGAGATAAATTTGTTAGCAACGAGGTTAAAACCATACTAGTAAGCAACATGATGACTTATCAGCAACTTAAGCAGGTTATTAATAATAACCTTAATTTTCCTCATTACAAAGTTGTCATAAATATCCACTATCGATACCCAAATTCATGTATCGGTGGTGTATATAAATATACAGCGTGTCGTCTTAGGGATGATGAAGATGTGGAGTGTATGTTTTCATTGTTCATAGAACTGCACGACCTAACAAGTCCCGAATTGTATGCTACCACGACATATATTGGATTATTGCATGAGATGGAAGCGATTGAAAGATACATTGACCAAGCAATGAAGTTAGACAACTAATGTTATATGATTTAAGTTTTATGTTATTTATCTATTATGTTTGAAGTTTGTTTAAATTGTATATTTTTTTAAGTTATTTTCATTTTAATGATGTAACCGTTATAATTAGTGTACTTAATATATAATGTCATTAATAAATTACAATTAAGCCAATGACACTCTGCACAAAGTCATTAATTTCTCTAACGCTGTTGGACCAAGGCAATGACACTCTGCATAAAACATTGATTTTTCTGATGCTCTGAGGAAATTTAAATATTAAATATATTTTTTAAAATTAATTATACTTTTTTTAAAAATCTGAAAATCAAAAAATGGAATTTTTTTTTTACAAAATCCGAACAAAAAAAGTCCAGAAAAACAAAAAGAAAAAAAAAGGCCCAAGTGTAACCGATTTCTCAAAGAAATTTTAAAAAAAAAATTAAAAATCCTTTTAAGAAATTGGTTACCCAGTAACCGATTTCTCACCTGGACCTTGAAAACGAGTTATTTGTATAAATAATCTTGGGTCCAGGTCATTTAAATAAATAAAAAAAATTGATATATTAAAATAAAAGTCTCGGATACTATTTGAAACTTGAATAAAGTCAATTATTTAATCACTATTATTTTTTATATTGGTTAACATAATAAATGTGACTTTGAGTAAGACATTTAGATGTATGTTGGTGGATTTGACATCTAATAGGAAACTTGTGTATGTTAAATACTTTAGTTTCCGTTGGACATTTTGATTAATTTTTTTTTATATAGATGAAGTAGTATGAATTAATCAATTATTAATGTGTTATTTTTTTTTATAATTTGTTATTATTTCATTAACGTAAGTCAACTACACTCAAATATGTAAAATATTATTTATGATAACATTATTTAATTATCAATTTTGAGAGAGAACCATGTTTATTTATAAATTTTAAGCATAATTATCTTTTTTGATAGATATTCGATGACTAAAACTGGACCAATCCGTTTAACATTGGATTGGTTTGATTTATGTTAGATAAACGCAATTTGGGTCCTACTAACAAGCACCTTTAGAGAACTAGTTAAAGAATCAATATGTAAAAAGTTTTCATTACAAACTAAAATAAAGTTACACGGAGAATATACAAATGCACACTTTAATGAAAATTTTATAATTTTGATTCCTTAACCAATGCCTACTAACCAATGTTGCTAACCAATGCTAGTGCATTGATTAATACCTTTCTAGACCTATATATAACTAAAAAAATGCTCAAATTTTTTGGACTAAAATATAAATGAATTTCAATTAAGTCACCTTCATTTAATACTCTTAATTTAAAAGCACTTCTTCTAAGACGATAAATGAGAGTACTATTTACTATAAGTATGATCAATGATATTTTAAGAAATGTAAGATATATTTTATGTGAAATTGTAAAAAAATAAATGAATGTATTTAATTAATTTTTTTTAATCTGCGTGAAATTATTATTTTTTTCTTGTGTATATGTCTAGAGGAAATATTTTTCAAATAATTTTAAAATTTGAATAAAATCAAACAAATTAAAATTATTTAGTTTAAGTTTTAATTATTTTTTTCCCAAATCCAAAATGATAAATGAAAAAGGGCATTGATTGGGCAACCAATGGGGGAAGACAAGTGATATGGCCTGTGATAAAAGAGAAGCATGTTCATTCTATGGTCTAAAAGGCGACCTCTCTCTCTTCCATCATTTCATCTTTGGTGCTGGCCAATGGACAAGTTGAGGTTTCAAATTTTACTTTTCTAGGTATGATAATGACCTCTGATTATTTCTCATCTTGCTACTTAGTATACCAAAACTCGTGTTGACATTGACTCTTGAGGGTAATTATTCCTTGTCTTCTATGTGAGGCCAAGTCTAAAACATAAGCATTACAATATTGCTTTTGAAGGCTTTAATATTTTTTTTTTATAGGATCCGACAACATTCTAAAACACGGCTATAGTAGTTCATATTCACTCCAATATATGAGGGATCATTTGCTTTTGTTCTAATCAATCTAAATCAAAATATTAGAGTTAACATTGCTTTATCAAGGGTTGCTTTTCTTATTTTAAAAAAGTTTCAGATATTTGTCAAACTAGTGCTATTGCTTTTCCAAAATGCTCTTAAAGTAGAGTAGAATGCGGATCATTGATTAGTTTCTTGTACTAATTAGTATTATTATCTACACTAAAACTAATGATATGAAATGTTTTATCACTTTCATGGCGATGAAATGATTGTATGTGAAACGGTAACTAGGTTGGGAAGTGAAATCCCACAAAACTATAATCAAATGAGGTTTTGTCAAAAGACTTGGCTTGGAAAAGAAAAAACTGTTTATGTATATGCAAAATATTTGTATATTATTTTATGAGAATTAAACTTCTACACCGTTATTTATATATAATAATATTTTTTTGTTTTTATTTTTTTCATCTATAGAAATCAAACTTAATATTAAGAGAGGTTATATCGATTAACACTGTTCAATGAGTTTGAACCTCTTAAATCACAGTTCAACCAAATTATATTTACTTATTTTTCTTCGCAAAATTTGAACTCATCTAAATTAGTGGTTTATTTTAAGAAATCATAAATCCTCCCTATAGAAACAATTATGTTGAAATTTAACAAGATCGTTATAAGCAACAAATATACTTTTTAAATATTTAACATAATTACACATTGACATTAGTTTATTCACGGACAAAGTTCTCAACTAGTGATTTGGTAAAAACTAAAATGGCCTTATTATTATTATTTGAAAAATGAAGAACACAAGTTGTCCTCATTGGTTGCTTTGAGACGGTGCAATAGGATAAGAGGCCAATAACCACTCCCAATGTTGTACCTTAGAGATCCCAACTGCCCATTTGAAACTCCCAACTATAAGCCAGAAGACAAAAGCATGGGAAAGAAAAAGTAGAGAGAGAAATTTTGGTCACACTATTTAATGAAAGCACCAGTAAACTAACCAGCCTGCACCATTTGTAACATTCAAGACTTGACTTTGGATTCCAATTACCTTCGACAACATGACCACATTTTATGTCCTCAAGCTGACAAATCTAACCATGTAATTTTCCACACTTTAGTACAGTCATGGACTAAATATAAAACCATCTTGGTTGGTTTCATGTTGGATGTGGCATACCAACACAAATAATAATTCATACCTAACCTAACACTCATTAAATAACTAATCCTATTAAACAAACAGTAGTTTATTGAAACATGGATTGTCTTCTAAATACATAAAAATCATTGTCGAGAGGTTCAATTTGTTAAGTAGCACAAGACATCAATGAGAAAATATCTAGGAACCTTAAAGGATGAAGGACTATACTAAAACCCACCGGCAAGAACCATATCATAAACCAGTCATACTCCTATTAGGGACTACTATTTTCAAAGTTGAACCCCCTCTCTCTTTATACACCAAAATAAAAGGATAAGAAAAAATAAGTATAGAGTTAATAATGTCTTTAGTCCTAGATAATGGGTCATGTTTAGTTTTAGCCCTTTACTTTTAAGTTTTCTTCCATGTATTTATGAAATACCAAAACTTTAGTCCCTAAAACTAACACTATAGGTGATGGAAACTTGGAATTTTAGGAATTGAAGTTAGGGTATTTCAAAAATACATGGACAAAAAACTAAAAGTAAAGGACTAACACCAAAAAGAAAGACTCACTTTCATGTGCTAAAAGCACCATTAGAGCGAACATATATTGATAACCCAGGTAAATCAAACTGATTCATATATGAAAATATTTCCTTTATGACAAAATCTTTATATGGAATGGAACCATACGTTAAAATGAATTTGTAGCCTCTTCCTGACTTCCTCTACTGCGGTGGCGGTGTCCTTTTCCATGGTGGCGCTGGCCATTGGTGAAAGTGATAGGATCAGATTTTCTTAGCTTTTCAGCCTCTTTGGGGTTGATGACACACTCTGGAGGAGGGACTTTGTATCTTAGTGTGTCATAGCAGTAAGAGTATGTCATGTGCTTCAACCTGAAGTTTCTCATTTTGACTCTTTGTACTGGGGTGACACTAGAAGGAACTACTATTGCCTCAGAGCCTTGTACATCATCATCACACTTGGCTACAAGTTCAATGGGATCAACTGCACAACCATGCAGCACAAAGTCAGAGTACTCAGCAACAAAGGGTGCATACTTGTAATTCACTCTATATTTCCCTCCATTGGTTGCCCAATCAGATCCATCCCATATGGTGGCATACAAAGTCATTGGCTTTGAGGGGAAATCTCCTCCCATAGATTCTGTTCTCTTAACTTCCCTAATAGGAACATCATCAACATAAAATCTGCACAAGCAAACACATAATTAAAAACAAGTAAACCACAAATAGTTATCAAATTTATCATTACAAAGTAGTAAGTAACATGGTGGGACATAAAAGGAACCTCCTATGTGCAAGGGACACACTAGACCCACTTGGTATGGTAGCTATAGTAACTAGGGAATGAATATTGATTACTAATTCATGAATTTAGGTAGACAAAAATAGTTTTCCAACAACTAACGATTCAACTTGTGGGTCAGTCATCCCACCAAATTTTATCTTGTGGGTTCCTCTCCATTAGGATATACACAATTTAAAAAGTTAGGCCTTTTCATGTCTGGTTTTTATTCACTATCAGCAAGTAATCAATGCATGCATTGTACACAGTAATCCCATTATAGGAAAAAATTGGTTTTTATAAAACTGTGGATGTAGTAAACGGTAAAAGAAAACCAGAGAATCTTTGAACAAAACCCGACCAATCCAGTAACAAAAGCCATAAAATTACTGCTTCCAAGCAAGGGATTGCTACAGTATAAAAGACAATAATGGGGCAGGTAAAGAAACTAGTTTTACCATAACAAGGAAAGTATAGAGATGATATATAAAATCCAAAGAGAACCAAAGAACCAAATATGGCATACATGATCTAGATTGCAAATAACCAAATAACCAAATTCAACTAGATTGCATACATGATCTTAGAATCTGCCCAGAGGATACTGTACTGATGGAAATCCTCAGTAGGATCAAACCATAGGCCATATTTTTCCTCTCTACCAATGTTAGTGCTTCCATTGCCATAAACATTGGTCTGAACCCTCCAGTCTTCGCCTCTAATGTTCCCCAAAAACTCAAAGTCTATCTCATCATGGTTATTCTGGAACATGTCACCATTTGACATCTGCAGCAGAAAATAAGAAAAATAAATGACTCCTGCCCCTATTTCCTGGGGAAAAAAGTTTAGAAGGAGAATCATGACAAACTGACGTTTACAACTCTAATAAAAACAAAATTTGAAATTTCCCTTGAAAACAGGACCCCAAGAAAGGGGTAAATTTTTTATCTTTTGTCCACATTAGACCATGACAGTGAAGAAACTGAAACGCAAACTGAAAGAGCAATGTCATCATCACACATTATTTCAAGTAAGCTTCAAGACGTTTTGTAAGAATTCCGGATAGCTAACTGGATTAAACTTTCATCATATTCACAAATCAATCACGAAGTTAATGGAAAGAAGAAAAAAGTGAAAGTAAAAAAGGAAGAAAATCGATATGAATGATCATAATTTTGATGAAGGAGTGAAAATAAAGAAGAAAAATAAAGACACAAGAAAAGAACAAAACATGTACAGTTTCTAATGATGATGGATGATTAAATTTCTATATAAAAAAAACGGTTTGAAATCAAAATAAGAAAGATATCATTTTTATTTGACCATCATGCATTAGAAGTTAGAAGCAGTTAGTTGCTCACATAAAAAGCAACCACAACTCCAGCAGTGTAATCACCAGGCAACTTGATTGAAGCACTGAAATAGCCGTGAAGGTAAAGATCATGAGACACAAATCCAGAACCTGTAACCACAACACAACCCAGAGAAGAACAATAAAAATCATGACATAAAAAAAGTCACCATATAACAAAAGAAAAGAAAAAGAAATAAAAACCTGTCCTTTCATCAAGTGAAAGATGAACTGATTTGCCATCCCTCTGGATCACCAAATTCTGGTCACCAAACAAAGGGGTATAGCCATCTTCAAAGGCCATGATGGGGAAGTTTGTGGGTGACCCAGAAGTAACCATGACAAGAAAAAGCAGAAAACAACATAAGAGGAACCCCATGTGACCCCCCCCTCCTATGTTTGTTTCCTTAAAGTGTCAAAGGATTTAATTTCTTGTTCTACTATTTCTGTGAGTGTTTGTAGTGTGTGTGATGTTATTATATATACCATAGAGAAGTGAAGAGAAGAGTGATGAAGAAGAATAGAAGGGGATGGATGAGAGAGAGTGGAAACTGGAAATGTAACGTTTTATCAGCGAAACTCGGGGATGTTCTGTGGGGAGCTGTTCACGAGTAGACAAGTTCGGTTTTAGTGGCTGATTTATGTTTTTTTCTTACAAAACGGTCATTGTAGTCTTGAAAGTGGTGAGTGGTCTCACGTTAATTATCAACCTAAGATAATATTCAACTCATGTTGGCTTAATAGTTTATCCATCTTAGTCATGCATTCTAGAGTGTGTTTGAATATTTGTTTAAAAGTATTAAAAATGTGTATTTTTACATTTTACTGCATGAAATTTAAAAAGTAATAAAATTACTGTTTTAAAATAAAGTGAGTTGAATTAAATTCAATTTTTAACAAAAATATACAATTTATCTATAAAAAAATCTTATTTGCTTGATCATTATTATCTATAAAAAAATTTTGAGGTAATAATTTTCATAATAACATGAGTGAGATTAATATTTAACCTAATTAATTCTAAGATATATGTGATATGACAAGAAAAATCTAAGAAAAAATATTAAATATGTCTTAAAATGTCAATAATTTGGTGATTTAAATAATACTAGAGTTAATTTTTTTAAATAAGATTTTAAATTTGAGTAAGAAAAAAATATAGTGAAGAAGAAAAATTTTGCTAAAGATAATCAATTAGGTTAATAAATATTAGTTATTGGCAAAATATGTATATACTTCATACCAATAACAATTAAAAAAAAATAAGTCTTTACATTATTAAATGCAAAATTAAATTAATACTTCTTTTTTAAACATAAAATCAATTTTAAATACATTTTAATTCTCTGTTTATTGGTTGATTTCTTTTATAAAGTTCCTTTAGACCAACTATTAGTATTTTAAACCCTATTTTTTATATGTAATCAGGGATAACAAATAACTTGAACAAGTTTAGTTCAGGAATGTGACTCTTTATTCAGTTCCCATGTTTTTTTCAATTTTTTTTTTTTGTTACAGCCTCTATCTATGTATAATTAAAGTTACTTTTTATTTTTATACTTTTATTTTGAATAATTATTGAAAATATAAATTAATTATTTTAATAATTAAATAATTGAAATTATAACAATAGATAAAATCATTTATAAGTAATGATGAAAATGAGAAATGCACATGATTCATCATTTGATGTCTCTATTGCTCTTTTACTATCTTCGATTTCTCCATCATTTGTTGGTGGGGAATAAGTGTTGAAATTGAAACTCCCACAAGGGTCACTTGACAAAGAATTTGTTACCATATATTCTACAAGCATTTCTCAGATCTTCTTTATTGAAAATAAACAACATTTTTTAATAAAAAAAATTCTTAATTTTTTTTCCTTCTAAATTTGTATGAAAAACATGCTCAAAACCTGTTACATTCACATGTTTATAACTCCTCTTCATCTTAGAAGTAACGTTAATCTCTCTAAAGTTTTATCTTGTCCCCACTTATTTTTAAATTTTAATTAATGTTTTTTCCTAATAAAATATGTATAAAAATTTTCAGTTACATTTCCTTCAAAAGCTATCTGCATTGGATTCACTTAATATATGTTGTCATGAACGTTTTTTTATTCAAAAGAGAGGAAGTATAATCATTGCAATGAAAATTAATAAATTCATATTTAATTAGAATTCATTTTTCATTAACACATTATAATTAAGGAGTAATAATGATTAACTCATGTCAAACTATAACATATTGTATTAGTTAGGCCATTCGGCTATCAAGAGACATCAACGTCACTCAGCACCTTTGATAGTCGAAGGTTGTGTTAGGTCGGCCATTTGGTCACACCTACTCGACACCATAAAGAACAAGAGCCCAATCAGAACCTTTGGCAGTAGAAGGAAGGGTTCCACTTGACCATACCTTGGCCACCTCTAAGATTCCCCTACACCATTTGGTATGATGGACAACCGAATGAGTGTACTAAACTTGTCATTTTGACCACACCTCTATGGCATTAATCCCACTTTGCATACCTCGACATCTTAGATGATCGATGGTCGTTTAGCATCTTTGGCAACCGATAGAGTCCAATGAGGATAATTGTTCACAATTAATTAACTATCCCTAATTAGTAATTAAGGGTTAATCATATGTGTAAGTCAATTACTGACGTATTACCTAATTTACAACCCTAATGCATGACCCATTGAGATCCAGATCCATTAATATTAGTATAAATAGTTTGTATCTCGAGGTAAAAGTTACTATTCATTTATTAATATTAATATTCGTACTTGTTTTGACTTGAGCATCGAAATACCTTTTGCAGGCACCTCCCCCCTCTGTATCTTGACTTGGAACTCTCGTTTGGTCCCCAAACTCGACTACCTTGTGAAGATTACTAGTGTACCCATAGACAAGTACACATATGATTCATAATCATAAGACTTATGCATGTCTGACTTGCATATTTGTTGTAGTTATATATTTATTTATTTGGATTTATTCATTCAAAAGTATTTTTTTAAGAGTTTTTCATCATAAAGTTTATTAAAGTTTAATGGCTCTATTTGTCCAAATAAACAAGTTGATATAATATATTATTAAGTTTAAAATAAATTTTAAAGTGAAATTTGTTTTTTAATAGAACTTTAAACGAAAATTTTATTGGTCAGTCAATCTGAGAGAAGTGGGCCTATTAACAATATAGACCTAAAAGTCTATATTATTAGTAAGTATCTTAACATATATTATTTTAAGGCTTATATGCGTCCATAAAAATAAACATGTTTGATATTTAAAAATTATTATGGTATTCTTCTAAATTAAGATGTTTTAGTATAATTAAATTTTAAAATTAATAAAAATGATTTAAAGTGTATTTTTTTCACTTTCACTTTTTTTTTCCTTCTACACTAAGTGATGTGTTATTGAGTTACTTTTTTTCTCACTAAATACTAGCTCAAGTATTTTAAATCATTTTTGTAAAAATCAAAATAAATTTGAAAAAAATATAAAAAAATTTTATTTGTTAAAGTAGAGAAAGATTTTATGAATTTTTTTATTCAATTTATTTCTCAAAATTTACATACAAATATGAAAAATCTCAATTTATCACGAGTCATAATATATTAAAAAAATATTCATTGTAAATCTAAACATTTCATATAATATATATATATATATATATTAAGAATTTTAAGAATATAATAAATATAATCAAATTATTCTAAAAATATCAAATATTCACATATTTGTAAAATAAAAATAAAAAATAGTTTCAAAACCCTTTAAATTTTCAAGGGTACCGTATAATTTCTCTTGATATTCTCTCACGATGGCTACTTATTTACTTTTATGTCAATGAATTTTCGTAACCAAATATAACTCTTTATAGGATTAAAGAAGGGATGGGTTGGAACAACTTTATTTTTATTTTTATTCTTTGTAAAAAAAATGTTTGAGTTATTTATTTAAATTTAAATTCAACTCAATCAAGTCCTAAAATATATAGGACAAAATTGGATTAATTTAATGTTTTAACTCAATATATTAACATTAAAAAATGTATAGTTAAAATCTTAAATTATGAAATAAAAAAGATATAAAATTTAAATTAAAGTGTATTATATAATATATAATTAAAAATAAATAACATCATTATAAATACAATATAATGTTATACAAAGTTATATCTATTAAAAAATTATTATTAATATGTACAATTATTCTAATAATTTATGCATTTTAAAAAGAATGAAGGTGAGTTAGGATAGTATGAAACATAATGAACTCGTCCTAAATATTATATTAAGTCTAATTTTAAGGTCCAAACTCATCCAAATTGTAATACTGTGACTTTTATTAATTTAATTATTGTTGAAATTAGTTACTTATTAGTTTTAAAACTCTAAGGATTTAAGAATCCTAATGAGTTTTGTTTTTTTTAGGAGTTATTCTGAGCTGTGGTCAAGTTGACCAGTCTAGGAAGGTATATAAGGTTTTGTTCAAGACTTAGTGCATTTCTTTAGAAAACTTATAGGGAAGTTACAAAGAGGAGTTTTGGATTTTAAGAGAATTCCTTCTTTTTCTAAGTCTTCTAGAGAATGTTAAGGTCTTCCTCAAAGTTCAGTGATAGGAGTTGGGTAGAAATTTAAGGCTAGGAAGGCTGAGAATCAAGTGGTGGCGATGGGAAGAGTTTAGCTCTTTTTCTCCCTGATTCTAGATGATTCAAAAGTAAGGGAAGTTATAACTTGAATTCTAGATGAATTGTTGACTTGTGTATTGCTTGATTTTTCCTAAATTTGTGGTTGTGTTGATGATTGAGGTGAAATTCTTATGTTGTGACTTTTGGTGTTTCTTGAGCATGTTGACAAGAAATTGGTGAATTTGACTCATTTAGCGGTTGTGGGTTGTTCTTGTTGATGAACATGGATTGGTAGTGATGTATAAACATCATTTGGTGCATTGCATGCTGGAAATCTTTTGTGTTTCAGGTGGATCAAGCCAAATTGAGATCTTGCTAGATATAGAAATCGTCATTGTGTCGGGCACAACTTCATGACGTTGAGTATTATGAAAGCCAAAGGCTCTTTGCCTTAATGATGTCGAGCATGAGATTAGTAATGTCATTCGTGAGATAAATGATAGCTCTCTAACTTAGTAACATCGGGTGTAGGTTGAAGGGCATTGGGGGTGGATGCCCTTGGAGCTCCTGACTTGGTGATCCTTGGCTCCAATTGAAGTGGCACCAGACTTAATCAAGACAATATCTCTCTACCTAAATGACATTGGATATTGTTTGAGTGACGTTGGGCGTGATTCAAGCAAATTGACACAGGGGCTCTCTACCTCATTCACACTAGATGTGGGTGGATTAGCGATGGGGATGGGCAAGCTAGAGGCTCTCTGCCTCAATGATGCTAGGTACGAGGAGAATAGCACCAAATGTGAGTTTTTGAATGAGAAATGGTCAATTATTTGGTGATGTGTTGAGTAGGTGATTTGTAGATTAAGTTACTCACATGTGGTATGTTGTTGTATGATTCTAGTTTGTTATATATTGATCCAGAATGATGTGTGTTGATATTTAAGTTTCTCAAAGTTGTAAGTTGATGAGAGTTGAAAGTGGAAAAGTTGTATGTTATGTAGTGTTGA